TTCTAATATAGATATAAAATCGATACATTTTTGAAAATAGCCTACTATGATCAAAACCAAAAATGTTTTAAATTGCATTTTAAATTATATCTAGGTATTATAAATGATAAAGAATGCTAATATAGATATAAAATTGAAACATTTTTTTAAAAAAAAACATCTCTTAATCAAAACCAAAAATGTTTTAAATTGCATTTTAAATTATATCTAGGTATTATAAATGATAAAAATGCTAATATAGAAATAAAATCGAAACATTTTTGAAAATAGCCTACTATGATCAAAACCAAAAATGTTTTAAATTGCATTTTAAATTATATCTAGGTATTATAAATGATAAAGAATGCTAATAAAGATATTAGATCAATATTTTTGTTTGAAAATAGCCTACCACGTTCAAAACCAAAAATGTTTTAAATTGCATTTTAAATTATATCTAGGTATTATAAATGATAAAGAATTCTAATATAGATATTAAATCGATACATTTTTGAAAATAGCCTACTTTGATCAAAACCAAAAATGTTTTAAATTGCATTTCAAAACATATCTAGGTATTATAAATGATAAAGAATGCTAATAAAGATATTAGATCAATAATTTTTTTGAAAATAGCCTACTACGTTCAAAACCAAAAATGTTTTAAATTGCATTTTAAATTATATCTAGGTATTATAAATGATAAAAATGCTAATATAGAAATAAAATCGAAACATTTTTGAAAAAAACCTACTATGATCAAAATCAAATATGTTTTAAATTGCGTTTCAAAACATATCTAGGTATTATAAATGATAAAAAATTCTAATATAGATATTAAATCGATATTTTTTTTGAAAATGGCCTGCTACGTTCAAAAACAAAAATGTTTTAAATTGCATTTTAAATTATATCTAGGTATTATAAATGATAAAGAATTCTAATATAGATATTAAATCGATACATTTTTGAAAATAGCCTACTTTGATCAAAACCAAAAATGTTTTAAATTGCATTTCAAAACATATCTAGGTATTATAAATGATAAAGAATTCTTATATAGATATAAAATCGATACATTTTTGAAAATAGCCTTCTATGATCAAAACCAAAAATGTTTTAAATTGCATTTTAAGACAAATCTAGGTATTATAAATGATAAAGAATGCTAATAAAGATATAAAATTGATACATTTTTGAAAATAGCCTACTACGTTCAAAACCAAAAATGTTTTAAATTGCATTTTAAATTATATCTAGGTATTATAAATGATAAAGAATTCTTATATAGATATAAAATCGATACATTTTTGAAAATAGCCTTCTATGATCAAAACCAAAAATGTTTTAAATTGCATTTTAAGACAAATCTAGGTATTATAAATGATAAAGAATGCTAATAAAGATATAAAATTGATACATTTTTGAAAATAGCCTACTATGATCGAAACCAAAAATGTTTTAAATTGCATTTTAAATTATATCTAGGTATTATAAATGATAAAGAATGCTAATATAGATATAAAATCGATACATTTATGAAAATAGCCTACTATGATCAAAACCAAAAATGTTTTAAATTGCATTTCAAATTATATCTAGGTATTATAAATAATAAAAATGCTAATATAGAAATAAAATCGAAACATTTTTTAAAAAAAAAAACTACTTTAATCAAAACCAAAAATGTTTTAAATTGCATTTTAAATTATATCTAGGTATTATAAATGATAAAAATGCTAATATAGAAATAAAATCGAAACATTTTTGAAAAAAACCTACTATGATCAAAATCAAAAATGTTTTAAATTGCATTTTAAATTATATCTAGGTATTATAAATAATAAAGAATTCTAATATAGATATAAAATCGATACATTTTTGAAAATAGCCTACTATGATCAAAACCAAAAATGTTTTAAATTGCATTTTAAATTATATCTAGGTATTATAAATGATAAAGAATGCTAATATAGATATAAAATTGAAACATTTTTTTAAAAAAAACATACTTTAATCAAAACCAAAAATGTTTTAAATTGCATTTTAAATTATATCTAGGTATTATAAATGATAAAAATGCTAATATAGAAATAAAATCGAAACATTTTTGAAAATAGCCTACTATGATCAAAACCAAAAATGTTTTAAATTGCATTTTAAATTATATCTAGGTATTATAAATGATAAAGAATGCTAATAAAGATATTAGATCAATATTTTTGTTTGAAAATAGCCTACCACGTTCAAAACCAAAAATGTTTTAAATTGCATTTTAAATTATATCTAGGTATTATAAATGATAAAGAATTCTAATATAGATATTAAATCGATACATTTTTGAAAATAGCCTACTTTGATCAAAACCAAAAATGTTTTAAATTGCATTTCAAAACATATCTAGGTATTATAAATGATAAAGAATGCTAATAAAGATATTAGATCAATAATTTTTTTGAAAATAGCCTACTACGTTCAAAACCAAAAATGTTTTAAATTGCATTTTAAATTATATCTGGGTATTATAAATGATAAAGAATTCTTATATAGATATTAAATCGATACATTTTTGAAAATAGCCTTCTATGATCAAAACCAAAAATGTTTTAAATTGCATTTTAAGACAAATCTAGGTATTATAAATGATAAAGAATGCTAATAAAGATATAAAATTGATACATTTTTGAAAATAGCCTACTATGATCAAAACCAAAAATGTTTTAAATTGCATTTTAAATTATATCTAGGTATTATAAATGATAAAGAATGCTAATATAGATATAAAATCGATACATTTATGAAAATAGCCTACTATGATCAATACCAAAAATGTTTTAAATAGCATTTCAAAACATATCTAAGTATTATAAATGATAAGGAATGCTAATATAGATATAAAATCGATACATTTTTGAAAATAGCCTACCACGTTCAAAACCAAAAATTTTAAATTATATCTAGGTATTATAAATGATAAAGAATTCTATTATAGATATAAAATTGGGACATTTTTGAAAATAGCCTACTATGATCAAAACAAAAAATGTTTTAAATTGCATTTCAAAACATATCTAGGTATTATAAATGATAAAAAATGCTAATAAAGATATTAGATCAATATTTTTTTTGAAAATAGCCTACTACGTTCAAAACCCAAAATGTTTTAAATTGCATTTTAAATTATATCTAGGTATTATAAATGATAAAGAATTCTAATATAGATATTAAATCGATACATTTTTGAAAATAGCCTACTTTGATCAAAACCAAAAATATTTTAAATTGCATTTCAAAACATATCTGGGTATTATAAATAATAAAGAATGCTAATAAAGATATTAAATCAATAATTTTTTTGAAAATAGCCTACTACGTTCAAAACCAAAAATGTTTTAAAATTGCATTTTAAATTATATCTAGGTATTATAAATGATAAAGAATGCTAATATTGATATAAAATCGATACTTTTTTGAAAATAGCCTACTATAATCAAAACCAAAAATGTTTTAAATTGCATTTCAAAACATATCTAGGTATTATAAATGATAAAGAATTCTAATATAGATATTAAATCGATACATTTTTGAAAATAGCCTACTTTGATCAAAACCAAAAATATTTTAAATTGCATTTCAAAACATATCTGGGTATTATAAATAATAAAGAATGCTAATAAAGATATTAGATCAATAATTTTTTTGAAAATAGCCTACTACGTTCAAAACCAAAAATGTTTTAAATTGCATTTTAAATTATATCTAGGTATTATAAATGATAAAGAATGCTAATATTGATATAAAATCGATACATTTTTGAAAATAGCCTACTATAATCAAAACCAAAAATGTTTTAAATTGCATTTCAAAACATATCTAGGTATTATAAATGATAAAGAATGCTAATAAAGATAATAAATCAATATTTTTTTTGAAAATAGCCTACCACGTTCAAAACCAAAAATGTTTTAAATTGCATTTTAAATTATATCTAGGTATTTTAAATGATAAAGAATTCTAATATAGATATAAAATCGATACATTTTTGAAAATAGCCTTCTATGATCAAAACCAAAAATGTTTTAAATTGCATTTCAAAACAAACCTAGGTATTATAAATGATAAAGAATGCTAATAAAGATATTAAATCAATATTTTTTTTGAAAATAGTCTACCACGTTCAAAACCAAAAATGTTTTAAATTGCATTTTAAATTATATCTAGGTATTATAAATGATAAAGAATGCTAATAAAGATATTAAATCAATATTTTTTTGAAAATAGTCTACCACGTTCAAAACTAAAAATGTTTTAAATTGCATTTTAAATTATATTTAGGTATTATAAATGATGAAGAATTCTAATAAAGATATTAAATCGATACATTTTTAAAAATAGCCTACTACGTTCAAAACCAAAAATTTTAAATTATATCTAGGTATTATAAATGATCAAAAATGCTAATATAGATATAAAATTGATACATTTTTAAACATTTTTTAAAACATATCTAGGTATTATAAATTATAAAGAATGCAAATATTAAATCAATATTTTTTTTGAAAATAGCCTACTACGTTCAAAACCAATAATGTTTTAAATTGCATTTTAAATTATATCTAGGTATTATAAATGATAAAGAATGCTAATATAGATATAAAATCCATACATTTTTGAAAATAGCCTAATATGATCAAAACCAAAAATGTTTTTAATTGCATTTTAAATTATATTTAGGTATTATAAATGATAAAAAATTCTAATATAGATATAAAATCGATACATTTTTGAAAATAGCCTACTATGATCAAAACCAAAAATGTTTTAAATTGCATTTTAAATTATATCTAGGTATTAAAAATGATCAAGAATGCTAATATAGATATAAAATCGATACATTTTTTTAAAAATAACCTCCTTTGATCAAAACCAAAAATGTTTTAAATTGCGTTTCAAAACATATCTAGGTATTATAAATGATAAAAAATTCTAATATAGATATTAAATCGATATTTTTTTTGAAAATGGCCTGCTACGTTCAAAAACAAAAATGTTTTAAATTGCATTTTAAATTATATCTAGGTATTATAAATGATAAAGAATTCTAATATAGATATAAAATCGATACATTTTTGAAAATAGCCTACTATGATCAAAACCAAAAATGTTTTAAATTGCATTTTAAATTATATCTAGGTATTATAAATGATAAAGAATGCTAATATAGATCTAAAATCGATACATTTTTGAAAATAGCCTACTTTGATAAAAACGAAAAATGTTTTAAATTGCATTTTAAATTATATCTAGGTATTATAAATGATAAAGAATGCTAATATAGATATAAAATTGATACATTTTTTAAAAAAAAACCTACTTTGATCAAAACCAAAAATATTTTAAATTGCATTTTAAATTATATCTAGGTATTATAAATGATAAAAAATACTTTATAAAAAAAACTTTTTAAAAAAACTACGTTTTTCGCGTAGACTAAAAAGTAGAAAATAACTTTTATTCTTGGTTGTAAAGAATTTGGTTTTAAATTTTCAGATTATATTTAATAAATTTTTATATTCAAGTCAATATTGTTCACAAAGTTTCGAATAAGTGCATTTTGATCTTATCGTATAACTCAACAACTTAAAAACGTGGGCGCATTAATTTAAGTTTATCATAAAGTATTGATTTCACATAAACTTATTTCTTCTCTTATAATGCGCCCACGTTTTTAAGTTGTTGAGTTATACGATAAGATCAAAGTGCACTTATTCGAAACTTTGTAAACAATATTGACTAGGATATAAAAATTTATTAAATATAATCTGAAAATTTAAAACCAAATTCTTTACAACCAAGAATAAAAGTTATTTTCTACTTTTTAGTCTACGCGAAAAACGTAGTTTTTTTAAAAAGTTTTTTTTATAAAGTATTTTATTTTCTACATTTTAGTCTTATTCTAATGAAATAGAGAAATAAAGATTATAGGGGGTTTATAGGTTACAGGTGTGTTGAACTTCACTTCGTTACGTTCAACTGTTTATAGATTACAGTAGGTTTATAGGTTACAGGTGTGTTGAACTTCACTTCGTTGCACTTCGTTACGTTCAACTGTTTATAGATTACAGTAGGTTTATAGGTTACAGGTGTGTTGAACTTCACTTCGTTGCACTTCGTTACGTTCAACTGTTTATAGATTACAGTAGGTTTATAGGTTACAGGTGTGTTGAACTTCACTTCGTTGCACTTCGTTACGTTCAACTGTTTATAGATTACAGTAGGTTCATAGGTTACAGGTGTGTTGAACTTCACTTCGTTGCACTTCGTTACGTTCAACTGTTTATAGATTGCAGTAGGTTTATAGGTTACAGGTGTGTTGAACTTCACTTCGTTGCACTTCGTTGCACTTCGTTACGTTTAACTGTTTATAGATTACAGTAGGTTCATAGGTTACTGGTGTGTTGAACTCCACTTCGTTGCACTTCGTTACGTTCAACTGTTTAAAGATTACAGTGGGTTTATAGGTTACAGGTGTGTTGAACTCCACTTCGTTGCACTTCGTTACGTTCAACTGTTTATAGATTACAGTAGGTTCATAGGTTACTGGTGTGTTGAACTCCACTTCGTTGCACTTCGTTACGTTTAACTGTTTATAGATTACAGTGGGTTTATAGGTTACAGGTGTGTTGAACTTCACTTCGTTGCACTTCGTTACGTTCAACTGTTTAAAGATTACAGTGGGTTTATAGGTTACAGGTGTGTTGAACTCCACTTCGTTGCACTTCGTTACGTTCAACTGTTTATAGATTACAGTAGGTTCATAGGTTACTGGTGTGTTGAACTCCACTTCGTTGCACTTCGTTACGTTCAACTGTTTATAGATTACAGTAGGTTCATAGGTTACTGGTGTGTTGAACTCCACTTCGTTTCACTCCGTTACGTTCAACTGTTTATAAATTACCAGTTTTCAATGGGAAATTAGTAACGACTTTCAAAATTTTTCATTCGTTTTATAAAATTTAATTTTTTTAAAGCATTCATTAGTAAAGTACATTAAAAATCACTCGTAAAGATTTTGTGTTTATCCGAACCATTCCTACTACATAACGTGTGGATTCTTAACATAAAGATGCAAATCAAATCTATATGTAACGGATTTTCAAATTTAAATTCAATGAATATCATTCATATGTTATGCAAAAATACGTCAAGCCGTTAATAAAAAGAAAAGTCAATTTAATTAAGTTGGTGAAGTGTTATAAATAATGCAATACATTTAAAACAGCATAAATTTATGCTCAATCAATGTGTGCTAAATGCACATCGCTAATTAATAGTTTTTTTGCATAAATTCGTAACGGACTTGTGCTTAACGGTTTTTTTGAAAATTCAAATTTTCACTTACGAATATTCATGAAAAAATTACATGTCAATTTTTTTGTCTTACCAGAATATCTTTAGCTGCTCAAATTTATGGTAAAATTAATAATTAGTAATATTAATTAAACTATAATGAATCATATAAATGACTTTAGAGCATCACAAGTATAATATTTTAAACAAATCAAAATTTCATATCATTGACATTGGATTTTTCTCCCAAATAAAAAAGTTTTATTAAAATTGTACTATAATTAAGCATTTTTGTGGTTCCAATGTGTTAAAATATTGTATTGTCACCGGGAATACGTGTGAATAAAAAAAATGAGCTCGATTGGAGCAGTAGAAGTGGTCGAAAAATTGATCGCAAGATTTGACCTCGACAGACAAATAAACAGACAGATAAGAAAGCAAGTTAAGAAAAACGTAGTAAGTAATAGTAAGTAATAAGTAATAAGTAATAAATTATATCTAGGTATTATAAATGATAAAGAAAGCTAATATAGATATGAAATCGATACATTTTTGAAAATAGCCTACTATGATCAAAACCAAAAATGTTTTAAATTGCATTTTAAATTATATCTAGGTATTATAAATGATAAAGAATTCTATTATTGATATAAAATCGATACATTTTTGAAAATAGCCTACTATGATCAAAACCAAAAATGTTTTCAATTGCATTTCAAATTATATCTAGGTATTATAAATGATAGCAGTAGAAGTGGTCGAAAAATTGATCGCAAGATTTGACCTCGACAGACAAATAAACAGACAGATAAGAAAGCAAGTTAAGAAAAACGTAGTAAGTAATAGTAAGTAATAAGTAATAAGTAATAAGTAATAATAAAAAAATGCTAATATAGAAATAAAATTGATACATTTTTGAAAATAGCCTACTTTGATCGAAACCAAAAATGTTTTAAATTGCATTTTAAATTATATCTAGGTATTATAAATGATAAAGAATGCTAATAAAGATATAAAATTGATACATTTTTGAAAATAGCCTACTATGATCGAAACCAAAAATGTTTTAAATTGCATTTTAAATTATATCTAGGTATTATAAATGATAAAGAATGCTAATATAGATATAAAATCGATACATTTATGAAAATAGCCTACTATGATCAAAACCAAAAATGTTTTAAATTGCATTTCAAAACATATCTGGGTATTATAAATGATAAGGAATGCTAATATAGATATAAAATCGATACATTTTTGAAAATAGCCTACTACGTTCAAAACCAAAAATTTTAAATTATATCTAGGTATTATAAATGATAAAGAATTCTATTATACATATAAAATTCGGACATTTTTGAAAATAGCCTACTATGATCAAAACAAAAAATGTTTTAAATTGCTTTTTAAATTATATCTAGGTATTATAAATGATAAAGAATGCTAATATAGATATAAAATCGATACATTTTTGAAAATAGCCTACTACGTTCAAAACCAAAAATGTTTTAAATTGCATTTTAAATTATATCTAGGTATTATAAATGATAAAGAATGCTAATATAGAAATAAAATTGATACATTTTTGAAAATAGCCTACTATGATCGAAACCAAAAATGTTTTAAATTGCATTTTAAATTATATCTAGGTATTATAAATGATAAAGAATGCTAATAAAGATATAAAATTTATACATTTTTGAAAATAGCCTACTATGATCGAAACCAAAAATGTTTTAAATTGCATTTTAAATTATATCTAGGTATTATAAATGATAAAGAATGCTAATATAGATATAAAATCGATACATTTTTGAAAATAGCCTACTACGTTCAAAACCAAAAATTTTAAATTATATCTAGGTATTATAAATGATAAAGAATGCTAATTTAGATATTAAATCGATATTTTTTTTGAAAATAGCCTACTACGTATAAAACCAAAAATGGTTTAAATTGAATTTTAAATTATATCTAGGTATTATAAATGATAAAGAATGTTTATATAGATATAAAATCGATACATTTTTGAAAATAGTCTACTATAATCAAAACCAAAAATGCTTTAAATTGCATTACAAAACATTTCTAGGTACTATTAAAGATAGAGAATGCTTATATAGATATAAAATCGATACATTTTTGAAAATAGCCTACTATGATCAAAACCAAAAATGTTTTCAATTGCATTTCAAATTATATCTAGGTATTATAAATGATAAAGAATGCTAATATAGATATTAAATCGATATTTAATTTGAAAATAGCCTACTACGTTCAAAACCAAAAATGTTTTAAATTGCATTTTAAATTATATCTAGGTATTATAATAATAAAGAATGCTAATATAGATATAAAATCGATACATTTTTGAAAATAGTCTTCTATAATCAAAACCAAAAATGCTTTAAATTGCATTACAAAACATTTCTAGGTATAATAAATGATAAAGAATGCAAATATAGATATAAAATCGATACATTTTTGAAAATAGCCTACTATTATCAAAACGAAAAATGATTTATATTGCATTTCAAAACATATCTAGGTATTATAAATGATAAAGAATGCTAATATAGATATGAAATCGATACATTTTGGAAAATAGCCTACTATAATCAAAACCAAGAATGTTTTAAATTGCATTTCAAAACATATCTAGGTATTATAAATGATAAAGAATGCTAATATAGATATTAAATCGATATTTTATTTGAAAATAGCCTACTATGATCAAAACCAAAAATGTTTTAAATTGCATTTTAAATTATATCTAGGTATTATAATAATAAAGAATGCTAATATAGATATAAAATCGATACATTTTTGAAATTAGTCTACTATAATCAAAACCAAAAATGCTTTAAATTGCATTACAAAACATTTCTAGGTATTATTAAGGATAAAGAATGCAAATATAAATATATAATCGATACATTTTTGAAAAAAACCTACTATGATCAAAACCAAGAATGTTTTAAATTGCATTTCAAAACATATCTAGGTATTATAAATGATAAAGAATGCTAATATAGATATTAAATCGATATTTTATTTGAAAATAGCCTACTACGTTCAAAACCAAAAATGTTTTAAATTGCATTTTAAATTATATCTAGGTATTAAAAATTACAAAGAATGCTAATATAGATATGAAATCGATACATTTTTGAAAATAGCCTACTATGATCAAAACCAAAAATGTTTTAAATTGCATTTCAAAACATTTTTAGGTACTATTAAAGATAGAGAATGCTAATATAGATATAAAATCGATACATTTTTTAAAATAGCCTACTATAATCAAAACCACAAATGTTTTAAATTGCATTTCAAACATATCTAGGTATTATAAATGATAAAGAATGCTAATATAGATATAAAATCGATACATTTTTGAAAATAGCCTACTATAATCAAAACCACAAATGTTTTAAATTGCATTTCAAAACATATCTAGGTATTATAAATGATAAAGAATGCTAATATAGATATAAAATCGATACATTTTTTAAAATAGCCTACTATAATCAAAACCACAAATGTTTTAAATTGCATTTCAAACATATCTAGGTATTATAAATGATAAAGAATGCTAATATAGATATAAAATCGATACATTTTTGAAAATAGCCTACTATAATCAAAACCACAAATGTTTTAAATTGCATTTTAAATTATATCTAGCTATTATAAATGATAAAGAATGCTAATAAAGATATTAAATCGATATTTTTTTTGAAAATAGCCTACTATGATCAAAACCAAAAATGCTTTAAAATGCATTTTAAAACATATCTAGGTCTTATAAATGATAAAGAATGCTAATATAGATATGAAATCGATACATTGTTGAAAATAGCCTACTATAATCAAAACCAAGAATGTTTTAAATTGCATTTCAAAACATATCTAGGTATTATAAATGATAAAGAATGCTAATATAGATATTAAATCGATATTTTATTTGAAAATAGCCTACTATGATCAAAACCAAAAATGTTTTAAATTGCATTTTAAATTATATCTAGGTATTATAAATGATAAAGAATTCTATTATTGATATAAAATCGATACATTTTTGAAAATAGCCTACTATGATCAAAACCAAAAATGTTTTAAATTGAATTTTAAATTATATCTAGGTATTATAAATGATAAAGAATGCTAATATAGAAATAAAATTGATACATTTTTGAAAATAGCCTACTATGATCGAAACCAAAAATGTTTTAAATTGCATTTTAAATTATATCTAGGTATTATAAATGATAAAGAATGCTAATAAAGATATAAAATTGATACATTTTTGAAAATAGCCTACTATGATCGAAACCAAAAATGTTTTAAATTGCATTTTAAATTATATCTAGGTATTATAAATGATAAAGAATGCTAATAAAGATATTAGATCAATAATTTTTTTTAAAATAGCCTACTACGTTCAAAACCAAAAATGTTTTAAATTGCATTTTAAATTATATCTAGGTATTATAAATGATAAAGAATGCTAATATAGAAATAAAATTGATACATTTTTGAAAATAGCCTACTATGATCGAAACCAAAAATGTTTTAAATTGCATTTTAAATTATATCTAGGTATTATAAATGATAAAGAATGCTAAT